TTCCGCTGATCAACATCAAAATTAACAAGTTCCACAGAAAGCAATTTATGGTGTATTTTATCATCTACTCTATTGAATAAAGAGCAGTAACATTTTAAGCGTTTTAAGTGCTTGAATTTTGTTCCAAATAAAAGATTGGCTTGGGAGAGAATGCAGGAAACAAAGCACAGAGAGGAAAATATTTCTTTTTGTCCTGGTATTTCAGTAAAATAAGGTGCCAGTCAATCACTTTCTCAGTATTATACATTTATGCAAAAAGAATCTCAAATTTAGCGCCCACACGTGGGTTTTTTTTAGCTGGATGAGGAAGTTGCAGCAGCAGAGACAGCTCAGCTCCCTCCCTCCACCCCGTGCGCCGGTGCCCAAACGAGACACACTGCTTTTAAAAGTCCTTAGAAAGCTTAATATCAGTTAAACTGAAACTTCTCACTCAAATATGGCTTTTCCGCCTGTAAAACAGCTACATACAGCATAAACACAGCCTGGGCTGTTGCACTGCCAAGTGGAGGCACGTTTTTGATGGTAGGAAGCTTTTCACACAGAAATAGCTTCAGAAGTCAGTAATTTTCATAGGGTTACACCACATTGCTTTCACAACACATCCGAACGTTTTACGTGGCTTTACACACCAAACCTTGACTAAGACGCAGCAGGAAGGACAGCGAGATGCTTTGATGAATTGCACAACTGTCGCCTTTTTCGGTAAAGCCAACAACACACTTTCGGCAGAAGGACCCAGCCCTGCCTGCACCCGGCTGCACCGTGCCCTGGGATGTAATGGCTCTCGCTAGTCAGCAAGTGGAGACACCTCATGCAGGGTCTTCTCCAGCTGGCTTTTGGCAAGTTCTTCCAACTTGTGTGAACACCATTAAACCTCAGTATTTAGTTTTGCTGAAAGAGCCCGTTCACCGATGACGCGGTGATCGCGGTCGAGTGCTAAATGCTGACGTTTTAATGGTGTTTGCAGCAGTTGATGCTCCAAAGGCACACAGAATTGGTCCTAAACTTCATGGGATCTACTATGGCACCGGATGATTGCAGACTGCCAGAAATTACAACTGCATTTGGACTAATACTCCAAGTAACAACATACGGAATTCGTTACGGTAACTATTCCCAGCGTAGACACATGGCAGACTGAAAACTCAACTAATTCACTGACACAGGCGTATAAATCAGAAAGCTCCGTGCTGAAGAGACAACAGGACAGATCACAGGGCTGGTCATAAAACAAACACCATAGAAACAACACTGTAGAAAATAAATAAAATTAAAAACCTCAGCATTATCCAATTCAATGGTAATCTGCCGGAAAAGAAAGAAGGAAGGGAAGAATTGAAAGCAAGCGTTAGTAAGAGAAATTACAAATAGATTTCACGTTAGGATCTTATAAATCATTTAACACTTTAATGCTGCAATCCAACATTGTGAGTATTTTACAGTCGGCGTGAGTAACATTTGCAAGTGCCCGGGATGCGGTGGGTTAGGGAACCGACACTGCTGGAAGCGCTGTGCCAGGCAGCTTCGGAGGCAGGATGCACCCTGGCTTTGTTCCTGTGCAGGTGACAAACCACGCGGGCTGGCTGACCAAGATCCAAGAACTTCACCCTTGGGCATAAGAGTCGTCACCAGTGTAAGCTGTAAGCAGCATTAGGAGTGCAGAGGGTGGATTTCCAGTTGGGAAGAGAAATGGGAGTTTTAAAATTTAAGTCCTGCAGAACTGAGGCTAATCATCTGGTAGGCACCCAGGAAGACGTGTATGAATGACATGTTTCAGCAAAGTAAAAAAACTTGGGTCTAGCCTACACTGTCAATGTAGTAAAGCTTCCTGCCTATTAAATGTACCACGGTATGCTACCCATCACTGAGCGAACCTGAGCGCATGCCAAGATGAGGAGTCTTTAGCAATATGTAAAACTTCAAGCCTTCCCACAAGCTTCTGTACATCTGTGTTCTCACCACGTTTTTTGCATGCTGCAGAGGAATCCCAGCTGTTTAATGAAGGCCTTCGCTAATGGGAGCAGACAACACTGCATTCTCATTACGTTTCCCACCTACAAAAGGGACAAGCGCATGGGCCAGAAGTGTGTGACATTTTTATGGAGGATTAAGTGTGAGAGGAGGAGTACAATCTTTTCATAAATCAGATTGTTCCAGCGAGCACCACATGGTATTACAGCAAAATCACATGCTATGCCAAAACTTCCATGGCGCTCTGCTGCTGAACACTACTTTGAAGTGACTGCTGTCAGTTCTGTGAACAGCTGACCTACAAGCAAGACTGCTTGCGTGATCAATACGCTAGTCACAAGAGTAAGTTTTATCACCTTTATGTATGTAGGGACGCCTGTGTTTAGAATGGGTGCATAAGTGTTTGTTTTTTTTTTTTTCTTTTTTCTTTTTTTTTTTTTTAAAACACTCCAGGATGATTTTAAAAACAAAAGGTATTGCCTTTTAAGTGGTGACTAAATACAGTTATATGAGTCACAAGGGAGAATAAATACGATTGCACTTCTCACAGCCAGACAGTAAAAGCTGTTCTACTACTACTAGCAGTCTATCTGTAAGCAATCAGCTGCTTTTTCATATTCGGAAATCCACTTCACAGGCAAGCATATTATGTAACCGATCTACTGTTTCAGAAATTAATGCATTTTCTACACTTTGAAGATTTTTAGAATCTTGTGGGGTTCTCCATGGTCTGAATGGTGCAAGTTATGTTAACTGCATCTTCTAGAAATACTGCTTCACCTGAGTTGGCCAAATAAAGTCTAACGAACTCCTATAAATGAATTTCCATTTAGAAAAATCTCCGAGTGGCATATTGCATTTAAAAGGAAAAAACCTCAAAGCTCTCATTTGGGTTTTGTTGGTGTATAGTGTATATATAGTATATATCATCCACCCTATTACTTAAGGTGACCTTGGACAGTCTCTCTTGGCTGTTTTTAACATGAGAACATATACTGATGTGTTAAAGTGTAAAACCAAATCTATGATTACACTGAATCTTTTATATCCCCAGCTTTGGGCACAGAAAATATCAGCACTCTACACTTGCTAAAGAGGATCATCTAGCCCAACTCCCTTTTGTAGGAGTAGACTAACTTCTGCAGGCTACAACCAGTCCCCTTCCAGATCAGACTTGTACTATATCGCAGAAGTCTTAGTAAAGGGAGCTTGAGGAGAGGACAGGTGGTCTTCACAGGGCTTCATCTTGTGCTGTTATGACCCAGCACAAGATACTGCCACTTCAGAAGAAAAGGACAATGTGTTGAAAGTGGGTTGAAACCTGCAGTTGCTGCCCTTTCCTACCTACCCTGCTCCCCTTGTCATCCCACATTTCATAGAATCATAGAATAGTTTGGGTTGGAAGGGACCTTTAAATGTCACCTAGTCCAACACCCCTGCAATGAGCAGGGACATCTTCAACTAGATCAGGTTGCTCAGAGCCCTGTCCAACCTGACCTTGAATGTTTCCAGGGATGGGGCGTCTACCACCTCTCTGGGCAACCTGCGCCAGTGTTTCATGTGCTTATATGCTTCTTTCTTGCAGTTGATTAGGGCATTCCCCTAATGAGTTTATTAAAAAATACTGCTACTGGAAAGTGAAAAAAATCCCTAGGTAGGACCGCAGGTCTAGAGCAACGCAGCAGCACTGGCTGGGAGGTGGGCTGGACCTCTGACAGCCAAGAGGTAGTAGCAGCACGTGGGAAGAGCGTTCCCTGACAGGGCAGGGAGCACAGCACCAGCCATCCCTACCCTTCGGGCATTTTCCTAGGAGTCTCCCGCCCGCCCACAGCGCTGCTGTGTGCTCAGCTGGGTGTGCTCGGGTAACAGCCCACACGCGTGCACGTGCACACCCACGTGCACATAGCCTCCCCGCTCCATTTGCTCTCCCTCCTCCAGGTCCCTGTGCTCTGGTGTGCGAGCGCCTGCCTCTTGCTGGACTGGCAACAGAGCGCTATGTTCTGGCTCCTGTGTCCTCATTTCCAGTAGGCTAGCCAAAGCAGGGGTTGTGTGCGACATCCCAGCTGGCCCAGCGATGCTACGGGTTCCTCTGCCTCCAGTGCATCTCCCTCCCTTGCGGCTGCAGCTACAGCGATAAACAATTATTATTATGAAACTGTCTTACCTCTAAAGCTTTTGCCTTTTTGTGCTTTCAATCTAGCACTATGCAACATCTTTAAACCCTACTGTAAGTGAGAATCGGATATGAGACACCATCTGCTCCCAGGCATGGACTCCCAGTTGCAGCAAGCATCCTTCCACACCACTGCTTCCCCCGGTCCCAACTGGCAATTCTCAATTGCTCATGAGCACGTTCACTGGGAGGGTATATTGCTATGTACATGTGGCATGGTAATAACCTAGGTTGCTTAAAAATGCATGAGATAACAAAATCCTAATCTAAGGTATTGACTGTAGGAATGCCTAGATACACAAACATATATGCATATACACACTCTTCTGATCAAATAGAGAATAGGTCTGTACCTACAGAAAAATGTTCTCAACAAGACCAAAGAGTTGTATGCAGGAAAGGGAAAGAAAAAAAACACCACATGGGTGGGTGTACAGACAGTTTCCATCTATAATTCACAAGAAGATGACGACTCAGATGTATATAAATTAAAATTGAGCTACAGAATATCCTCTTGTTGCAAGGTTACGTGACCTGATGAAGAGTCACCTAGACCCAGAGAGCAGATAAAGGTTATATCCTTCATAAAAAAGTAACGAAATTAGATATTTTTACAGTGCCAGCAACCGCAGGAATTAGGCTTAAACTTGCAAGTCTAAAGTAGAAAAGCAACAGAAACAAGCTTACCTTTCAAATTATATTTGAAGTTATACGTTAACTAAAAATGTTTTGTTCCTGATCCAGTACAGAAGTGCTTACACATACAAAACACAGCTTGAAAGAGTGAGAATTTTATTTTTCTTTACTGAATAAAGACAGTGTTTAACATAGAATGATGAAATGTAAATTACATTACCTTTTCTCCATAGCCTCTATCTTTGGTCATCATTTCCCTGAGCGTCTGTAGTACTTTAATACATAGTTTCTCCTCATTCTCCTCTAGCAGCTGTTTAGTATGCTTTATTAACCTGAAAATAACAAAACAAGCTGTGATTGTTTTAGTACTAATACTCTAAAATATACTCTATATATACTCTAAAGATATACATGGCTATCTTACTTAATTGGTTTAAGCTGCAAACAAGCTTTATTATCATACCATTATACAACCATCTTGGGAACATTCTCTCAAGAGCATCATTGAACCAGCTGCTTCGGGCTTTGGTGGAGCTGTGAAGGAAACTGCATCCCCCCCGGCAGGAGGACAGCCAGATAAACCCCTCTGACTGCAGGCAGAAAGGAATGAGGGGAAGGGGCAGTGGGATTTAGGACTTGCTGGTCCTCCAGAACAAACACTTAACAGTAAGAAAGAAAACTATTCCACATACTACTTTGTTAAAAAATATACCAAGAGTCTTGGATAGCGCAATTGGAAATCCATCCTACCCAGCATTTGTTTGTTACTCTGGTACCTGGTTTCCATAAACTCTCTATACAATCCACCCCTCCAGAGGGTGATCTGAGAAGCTGGATTCTGCTCTGCATTGCCCTCTAAATGACCTTGTAATCTTTCCTTTTCCTTCCCTCCAAATTTGGGAGGCATCTGCATTGGGTGATGCCCGTGATAACAACCGATTCTGACATATTACCCAGCACTAAGTGCTACAAGATCAAGTACTTTGCAAACATTACTAGGGTTGAAGGCAGGGGTAGAATAACAGGGATTAGCTCATAATTTTGTACTTGTTTATACTACTGTTTGTGACACTTCTATCCTGCAGCAAAGCCAGAAATTCTTAAGCATTAGCTGTGCGAGCACGTCAAGCAGTCTTTCCCATTCCCCAAGAGCTCCTCCCCCCGCCCCTCCCCCGGGACAAATTGCATTTACCATATCATTAAATACTCTGCTTACATAAAGCTGGGCAAGAGGGCACCATTCCATAGGGTGTGGGAAAATTGGGAAAAAGCAAAACATAACAAAAAACATAACAAAAAAGCCAACTCCCCAACTCCCAACAAGCCAGACTTCAGGACAACTTACTTGCAAATGAAACCTCCACTTTCACATTTCCTCCTCGCATCTGTGTTCTCTGGGAAGAGCAGTTCAGGCCTGTGAAGCACATCTACCAGTACTGATAACTCTGCCTGGACAAGAGGACGTAGGCGATCCTCTAAAGCTGATACTATGTCCTAGAATATAATCATATCAAGATTTTAAACAAACATTAAATACATCTAAATGTATATGCAAATTAATTTTACAAACTGCAAAAGTTAGGTCTGTCCTGCCTGGATAAACTAGATCAAAGACCTCTGAGTTTGGCCAGGTAAGACTTTCAGTTTTATAATTTAATAGTTGTCTTTAAAAAGGGAAGCCCAGATTTCCAGCAGTCCCCCAGATTACTTAGTTCCCCTACCCTCCCCATCTTTGTAGGTGCTCTTGTTCATACAGGGGCAAGAGAAGAATGCAGATTCAGACCTGCATTGAAACTCTGTGATAATGATCGGGTATTTATGCTTACATGAGCTGACAAAAAAAGTACCACTGTTAGCATTATGCAAAAAATAAAATTCTTCCCCTTTTCATTGATGTTTGGAAAGATGTAGCTACCTTAAAACAAAACCACATTTATCCTAACACTTAAACAAGCAGAAAATACCAAGATACCTCTGAAGCCAGAGAGGAAGTTTAATCAAATTGAAGTGGACAAATAGACAGGAATGGATAAAGGGGGAGAAACTATTTCAATGAGAATGGGTTGGGCAGTGTTTTTACATTACGTAAAATTAGAACTGTTTGCCAGAAAAAGCTTTTGGCCAGAGAATGAATCTTCAAAGGATAAAAGCATCATTCAAGATGATGAGTTTCATTTGGTATAAAAAAAGGCCTTATTGAACTGTCTACAGGTCTGAACATAGAATACAGCTATAACACATCAATCCCTATTTCCAGCACAAAGCATTATGTTTAAATAGTCTTTTTAGCAAAAACAGTATCGGAATGCACACACTTTGTTTCAAGGAGTGACTGTGGCTGCAACTGGTTCACAAGGAACCGATACGTCTATTTATTTCAAGCTCTGCAGTGGCTTCCAGGCAGGGCTGTGGCACCTTTCGTTGTACTGAGAGTTTTGGCGTACAAGGAGCAAAGCACTGGAGGAGTGTGGAAGGCTGTGATAATGAAAAAGTCCTGTCTTATCAAAGAAATATCACTAATGGTGGAACAAGAATACTTCAAGTACCACCACCTTCAAATATCAACATCTCCTAGGATAAGTACTTCTATACCCATTAGCCATGCACATTCAATTACCTGTCTTGATACAATGGTTTACATTTGATTTTATATACAGTATTACAGTATTATTATATTCAGCATCAGCTAATTTGATTACCATGCAGCATTTTGACTAGTTAATTCATTCCCAAATGTCCTTCTACTTAGTAAATTCCTCCTTTTGTGTAGGCATGCAAGTAAATGCTTATCAAAGGAGGAAGGGTGCTGTGTAGTCACCTGTAATCTTTCAATTATGTTTCGATAATCCCTGGAGGCAGCAAGCACTGAATCTCTGCGGGCAGCATTCCTTGCAGTCATTCGCCAGTTCATTGCAGTCTTCTGTACAATGTTGTGAGATTTCAGGAAGAGATTGTTGACCTGACTGTCCAAGTCTACAGGAATTGCAATTGCACGGCTTTTTGCTGCAACAAGCACAAGTTGGTAAGAATCGACCCCTTCAGCCCATGTATTACAACCAATGCAAGAACAAGACAAGCTCTACTTGCAATTTCCTTTGTGTGCACTTTAAACAATGCAATGCTCATTCCCAGTGTAATGGGTCAGACCTCTCTGTAGCATTACATTTAAAGACTTTCACACTTCAGAGCTGTTTACTGTCTTCAAAGTGTGGGAGTAGGAATCTGTCCTTACACACACACTCCCAACATCTCATGCTAACACACATGCACACCTATCCAACAGCATTTGGCCTCATATCCAGTACAAATTACTCTTCTTGCTACTAAAAGTGAAGCAAATTACTGGGAGGAGTGGCAAAGAACTATTTCCCTGCTGCAGATCAACAGGACTGCAGAGAGTTTTGAGGTTAAACGGAGAAAGCACTTCAGGTTACAGTGACAACACCTATCGCTCGACCATGACAGTGTATCAACGTAACTTTGGCTTTGTACTATGCCTTGGCTCCGAGTTATCTGCAAGTGGCTCCCGCGGGAAGTAAACTGCAGTTTCTTTTTGGAAGGATGACATGTAAGCAGCAAATACTGGATGACCATGTTTGCAGCAGTTAGTTCTGATTACACCCATTTCTTACCTACATCTGAGAGGACCCGAATGCAGCTTTCCACTGATGCCTTTTGGCCTGGCATTAACCAGTTGCAATGGTACACTCTGAACACACCTTGTAGCAACTGTACAAACACAGGTTGGCGAGTCTAGAACACAAGGTTAAAGAAAATCAAACTCATCACGCCATATTGAGATGTATCAGCATCACCTTGAGGTAATGCCAGTTACCAGCTTCAGTCATGACTCTCTGCACACCAGTCATTTCTAACTGGTCTGCATCCACTTGTTAGGCAACTTTATGTTGTAGACAGCATATCTACCACACAATCAGCAACTGAATGGATAGGGTGGGAACGAAGGCTGGAAGGGAAATATTAAATAGATAGCTTCTAAAGCATAAAGCCTCAAGTAATTGAAGCCTGACTAAGCAAAGGAAATAAGCAGTCATCTTCATCTGTTAAATCAGAGTTATCAGCAAACCTGGCATACAGAGATTCTTCTTTTAGCCTTGACCAGTAGCTGACTCAATAGTCCACAGGTAATGGGACTTTGCTCTTGGCTAAACAGCACAGCTCCAGAGTTGAAAACTCATCATTTCAAGTATTATTAGCTGGTATCTAATTTACTGAAGAAACCAGCTGTGTGTTTGTTACTTCGATCACAGGTAGTAGTTAGTGGTAAACACTACAGCTGCTATGGATCAGCCAAAATTAAGGTGTGGTTTTTAGCCCTGTATTTCGCAAGGTGAGCTTCCCCTATAGATAGGTGAGGTACTCCAACACACTCATGCAGATGAGCTCTGTTCTTTCATCTTTGCAACATCCCAACAATATTAACCAAAACTCCCTGCTTGGTTTTGTACAGTAATTACTTAGTAGAACAATTCATTTATTTTACCTGTAGAGGAAAGAGTATTTTAAATATTTCAAATGAACCTACATGGAGAGGAAATACCCTGTGTCCCTGTGCCTACTAGCTATGTAATGTTTCTATCAGCTAAGTGAACTACACCACAGTGCAAAGCCCACAAGACTTAGGAACCAGTGAAAAAAATACCTCTTTTATTCTGGTCAAGATTAATGCCTGTTTGTAAGAAAAAAATGGAGTTAGATGAAAAAACCAAATCTATTAGATAATTAAATCTATTAGATCCACTCATCAAATAGCACCATTATGAAATGTACAAAAAGAGAATCAAAATTCAAGAACCAAAAATTACTAAGAGGCAAATACCTATTATCCTTCCTAGAAATAAGCCAAACACTGAAAACATGGCAGACAGTAGCATTCTCCATGGGCACTGAAAATACCTGCACTTTTGGATTTAAGCCACCCACATATTCCTTTCAGTTCATATTTAAAAACTTTTCGGTCTTAAAATGCTTCAAAGATGTTTCATTTGCTTAAACTAGGTCAATAAATCAAATAAGAAATTTACTCCGTGTTCCACATGCCTCGAACTACACCTGCGAAGGAAAGCCTTGGGCAGCAGCACCCTTAGGAGGCAAACAGGCTAAAAAGTACTTGTTAAAGAGGAAAAGTTTTGGACAGATGTTCTTTGAAAAGACATATTTATGTTCTCCTAATTTTATATTATTTGAACTACATGACAGACGTACAAGGTGTTCCTTAAACAAGCAAGGCTGGTCCTGACTCAAAAGAGGTACAATTAAGTCAAACAAGCCATAACACGAAAGAGCATGAGACAAGAAGAGGCTCGCATGGGAAGAAACGAGATGACAAGGTGCAGCAGAAAGGACGGGGAATGACCGAATCCAAAGGCAACACAAAGGAGAGTGGCAACCATCACTCGCCTATGGAGACAGCGGCACCAGATCAGGTAGCAGTGTCTGCAGACTGCCCTGCGGCATCTCAGACAAGAGGGAAAAATCCCACCCGGAGGAGTGATGTAAACAGCCAGGTGGCCCAACAAGCTGTACTCTTCAGATGGAGAGTCCCTGGTTATGGGCAAGAGCCTTGACAGGCAGAAAAAGGGAGAGAAACAGAGCTTTTAACTTAGAAATGTAGAGGAAAGATGAATCTAGGATAAGACAGAACTTTCAACTGAGATGGTAAAAGAGAGGTGAAATAAGTTACTTCATCCTGCTAAACAGAGGGAGAGATTGAGAAACTAAAGAAAAGTTGCTGACAAATAAACTTAACAGATCACTAAAATACAATGGTAAGGAAACGTATTCAAATGCTGTACACTCAGAGATGACAATTAAAAGCATGACAGGGAAGACAGGAGAAGGGCAGAGCCCTGGAGGACAAGGGTAACTTGATCTCAATTTCTCATGTTCTTTTGATGAAGTTTTGACAAACTAGCATGGAGGCTGATACCACAATAGCAGCTGACATTTTAAAGTCACATGAGGGGCAAATCAACTGCTGGACTGCTCAGACTTGTGTGAATTAAGGCAGAACCTTAATAAAGCTGCTCAGCCCAAACACAGCTGTTGCAGCTCCCTGCACTCTCACAGGCAATGCCCCAAGTTTGGCAATTAAAGGGCATTTGAGCCAATCTCAAATGCAGCTCTGTGGCTTTCAGTGTGACTGCCTCCTTGTCTGAATAAGGAGGGCTGCCTAAGCCTATGAGAAGCAGGGCTATGTTGAATGCTAAACAGTCGGGAGATCAGGCTGGCCACTGGTCATCCAGACATGGGTCGAATACATGTCCTGACTCAAGGGGGACTGACTGTCGACACAAGAGATATGGGTAGTCAGTCAGAAAAGCAAGAACATCACTGCTCGTACTGAGCAGAAGGAAGTCTTTACCTGATGCACAGTCACGCAGCAGTTTTATGTACACTTCCCTGGAGCACTGCAGTGACCCAGGCAGCACACCATAATCCAAAGGGTTAGCATAAGTTCTTTGACAAGGGACTGACATGTCAAATTGCCAAATGCCCTTTATGGCCACTTTTGGGAACCAGATTCCTCCTAAGCGGCTGCCTGTTGCATTCAATTACAAACCTGGAGTTTGCACTGTGAACAACTGCCTTTGGCACGATGAGGTTGCATCAAGTTTCAACAACTACCATACTCAAACTTCTGACAGACCTGCCAGGCACCTGACCACTCCACCCACACTCCTCCCAAAAAGTTATTTATGAACACATGAATGATGTTATCTTTGTGCTACAATACAAATATTAGGGCAATGTCCTGACACTGCTGTTCTGCAGTGGAAATCTCTACCTTCTGTCACTTCACCAATGTTCCAAGCTTCTCCTCCACATTTCCCCAACTTTTGAACAAGACAAAAATTACTCAGCTTAATGAAACACACTAGAGCTTTTAGAATTTTTTTTTTTAAAAGGAAATTAGAATCTTCCTATAAAAACATGCTTTCTTTAAACAATCACTTTAGCACTCTCCTGTAATGCAACACCCTCTCCTCCTGTCTGGAAAGCCTGCCACCAAAGCTTTATCTTCCTTCTTGATGGCACTCTGGAGAACTCCTTGCTGCCGTGCTACTGCTTTACCACTGCTAGACAGCTGGCACGCCAAACTACTGCTGAGCAAAATTGCTTGTTTGCTCTCCTACACCTGCCCACATCGTCTTTTTCAACTGTACTCTGATCTAAGGCCGCAAAGAGGACAACCAGAGATGCAACCGCAATACAAAACATACAAAAAATCCTTCATTTCCCTACTTGCAGTGTGTTTTTCTCACCCACATCCTGATAATGACACGTAGAAACTCTCTCCAAAAGATCTGTGTGATCTCGGTGGTAGTACAGAGTTGAATCTACTAATGAAGTAATGTGACACTTCAGCCTCTCTAGAAAAACATTTGTATTCTGATCTATAAATCTTTCCACTTCTACAGCAAAAGAAACATCCTGGTCACTAAGAATACATATCTGCTCCCCCATTACAATCAGGTGTTTCTTTTTAACTGGTAAATGGAACCAAAGTGGAATGAACATAATTGTATTTGCAGCATATTTTCACTTTTCTGTCTCTCTACATTTTCCTACCTGCAAAGTAGTGCTCTGATCAGAGAATGGGGAACTGAAGAAAGTGGTGACTATACTCATGACTATTTCTGTAACGTACTTCTCCAATATGGAGTCAGCATGCTTTCTGTCGCTGGTGTTGTTACAAGCCTGCAAGACAATTCATTCTTAGGTCAGAAGCAGCTCAACCAAGGTAGATTAATAAGCGTTACAGACTGGAATTCTTGATTTCGCACTGTTCACAGCAATTCCCTGCCACAATGATATTTATGACACTTGGATCTCTGGACTTCCAGCACATACAAAAGCAGAAGCCCAACACTGTTACTGTTTTAATGTGCTGGCATATAGCATGTTTAGGAGGGAGGGAAAAAAATAGAGTGCCTTAGAGGAAAGAAAGTAGTAGGGTAGGGAGGACTGAGGTGTAATGCTTTCGTATGGGGAAATACTTGGAATCCCAGGCAAAAAGCCATATGGCCAAACAAATGCCAAGCTTGGAAAAAATTGGTCCCGACCTGCCAAAAATCATTGACTATTGCTCAGGAAGGAGCTCACTATCCTGGCCAGAATAAGCAAGCCAGGTGGCAGAACAGAAAAAGGCATTAGACAAAAGGGCAGGGTGTGGGGCTTTTCTGAGGTTTGTTGTTTTTTTTTTTTTTTTCCTTTTTAAAAGGAAAATATTAATGTGTTCCATGGAATATGACTAATGAAATCCACAGGCATAAGCAAAAGAAGGCACATATAAATTTGAAGGAACACAGTATTCAGGGTACTTATTGTCTTGATGCACTGTTATGTCTTATTCTTACTGCTCTGTAGTAAATAGGTTCATTTAAGCTTTTTTAATTCAGTTCCTAGATACAGAAATCATTACCCGACAGATGTCAACCAGGAAGTTCTCAAATAGCTTCCACATATGATTACTGGTGTAAATCTCTTTCATTTCTACTTCTGTGTCCACATAGCAATGATTCAAGAAGTTGATGTACGCAATTTTGACCTAAAAGTAGAGAAAAAAATTGCCATTAAAAAAACCTGAATGGTATTATGAATGAATATAATGTCACATTAAAACTGCTATGTAAATAATTTGTAATTCTACTTCTTCCTTTTATTTAAGCACTGGTGAAATTTAATGCCATGAATAGCAAGACATCGTCCAATAAAAAACACCAGGATTATTGCAGACAAAACGTCAGCATAATAATCATTTCCAGTTCTGCAGAACCATCTGTTCAAGGTTAGCAGCATACTCCATAAACCTCTCTGCCTCAAGAACCCTATAAAACAACACAGTACAGCATCACATCCCCATTTTAAGGGCAAGGAAACAAGTATAGAAAGATTTAACTTAACTATCCAGATTCACTGGGGTGGCTGATAGCACAACCAGGGAAGGAATCCAGTTTCCCAGCTCACAGCTTCCTGTCCACCTGCACCACCGCCCTTCCCAGGCCAGACTCAGCATTATCAAATCTCTCTCACCCAAAGCCAGCATATTTCAAATACATATAGGCCAGTGCTTCCAAACAGCCCTCACCTCAGGTATGCAATCCTCGTGGGTTACTACCCTAACAATGTCATCCAAAGGAAGAAGGGAGTTGCATTTTATTTCTGTATAGACATTTTTGCCTTCTGTGCACACAGCAAGCAGTTCTACTAAGTGGATGTGGTACATCAGGGGGCTGTTTTCATCCATCCGATCTCTCTCTGATCTCATCATTTGCACCAAAGTCTGGAAGGAGGCTCTGTCATTGTAAAACACTAGGACATCTTCTCCCGCATTCACCAGCTACCGAGAAAGAAAAATATTCCATCAGCAGATCAAAGCCTGTGCATCTCCCCGCAGCATCCTCCCCTAATCTGTGGGCTGACTGTTACAGTGCAAATCCCGATTAGCTATTCTTTAGACACTTAAAAGGAGTGCAGCCCACCAAGTCAGCTGGGCATTCCTCTTGTGCTCCCTTCATGGGATAGAGGGCTCAAGTATGACATTTTCTCTTAAAGAATTTACCACTTCTGAACTGCTGAAGAACTTCAAAGTCAGCCCAACTGACTGCTTAGACAGAAGTTGTGCCAAGAAGCTTGTGACTTTCCATTGTGCTTTTTTATTTCACGTATATTGCCTCAGCTGACTTTTTAATACAGCTAGCTGTAGACATACCGTTTTGTTCAGAGAAACGCCCCAGGGGCACACCGGATGGGAGGACTGCAGGGCTCAGTAATTCCACCCTTCTGAACAAACATCATCAATTTTCCAAGGCTAGCGAGTGACACGTTAAGTCACACACTGAAGATTTCTATCAGCTTCACATTTGAGACCCGGATGGCCACATTTTCAGAGCAGTTCAGACCTCCTCTAACTCAATGAAGGGAAGAAGAATGAGCAAACAGAGACCTGCTCCAGGCTGGGCACTTCTGAGCACCCAGCTGGAGGGATCTGAGGCTGTCCTCCTGCAGGGTTTCTGGCATAGATAAAATGCAGAAGGCAACCCCCAAGGCAACCCCCTTTTCTCAGGAGCTGCTGACCCCCATGGAAGCTGATTGCTGAGCATCTCACAAACTCGACTCCGTGTTGAGAAGCTCACAAAACCATTTTTGAACTGAACGGCAAAATATGGAAGACCTTTGATGAATCATAGTAAGATTGATACACAAAAGCCAGAGCTTGACAAACCTGATCCTCGGGCTCCCCCTGCTGAGGAGGCCAATAAAAATCCCATCAGACATGCAAATACGCTGTCAAACAGTTCATGTCCAATATCCAACTTAAAGGGATTTATTCACCCTTCTCTTACTTCTCCCTTCTATCCTGACACTCCAATTTCCCAGTTACCTACACATCTAAATTTCTGAAGACCCTCAGACTTTTCCGCCTTCAGCACTTGAACAGCTGAATATGTAGGTCTTGGTAAGATAAGAAATTCCCATCAAAATACTCTACTATCATGCTGAAATTTTCCTTCTGCATCAGTGATCTTAAACTATTACCATTCTACGCAATTTTGCCAGAGAAAGGCAGCCTTGCTTTGTAAGCCCACCTATACTCTGCTGTGCAGAGGCCTGGAAAATAACTCATAAGTATCATTAATAACCAACCACTCGTTATACCTATAGGTGAAGAGCTCAGAAAGCTTTCAGTCAGAAAAAAGCCTATGCTTTCTGGTAGCTGTATGCTCTTTTTGCATTGTGAGAGCTAACTGTCAGCTTCTTGGCAGTCCCAGAAGCGAGAGGATCAATTTGTCATTTTCACCAAATGGTATGTGAAAACTTCTGTTCAGACCTTGCAAATCTCTGCAGCTCTCACCTCAGCCATTACCATATCTTGGCATTTCTTAATGAATTTTCCTTCCGCCTTGACAATTGTCTGCAGGAACTTTATGTACTGAACGTTTCTGCCATGTGTTTCGATACAGTGGACAAAGTGTTGAACAACGCGTTCATTAATCTCACTGCAAAGCTGGAAGTTGTTCATGAAAATGTGCTGCATTGTTACTGCTTCCAGAATCTAATGGAGGAGATGAAAGAAAGCAAGAAATTAGAAAATAAACAAACCACCAAACCCACACAGAGGTCAGGATAAAGTCAACACTCCTGCAGGGTGCAGGACTGAAAAGAACATTTCCGAGGACCTAATCTTTCAACACAACAGCTCATATCTAAGCCTATTTTTCAGTCCACTTCAGCCTCTTGAACTTTTTACACTCAAACAGTCCTAAACAAACAGATCTTGCCAACTTTCGAGGCTTTAGAATGAAAACAAAATGTGACCCCTTCAACCAGTCTTGCATCAGAGCAGGCCCAGAGGCAATCACCAAGGACAATCCATTCTCTTTTCTTGCTAGAAAAAAAAAAATCATGGCATGAGGTTATCCTTACCCCTGGGTTAAGGAACAGGTTTATGTGCTTGTGCAGCAATGCCTGGTTCTGTTGGTTCCCAGCACAAAAGTTCTGTAAAAACTCATGTGCAAGCTTCATTATCTCCTGCATCCTCGTGTCTTCAGCCTATGATTGCATGACAAATAAGATGGGGTTAAAAAGAATCTGAAGGTTCATTTTCAGGTGAGTACTGCATGAGCCACAGCTCCAGCTCTGCAAGGGAACTGTCACGTCTCTCTCACACTCCAAAGAAAAACAAACCTCCACCCAGTTCACAGACATTAGGGATGAGTTTGGCCTGCTTCACAGTTTTAAAGATCATCAAAAATAAAGACCATAATAGAAATTACAGTAGTTTATTCTCTAAAATTGCATACTCCATGGCCAAGCCTGCCAGCAACGTGCTTTAGTCACTTTTACACTTCTGAACATACCAGTGCATTGGCCAAACCACACATCACCACCTTGGGGCTACAGAGGAAAACTGCCATGTTCCACTGAAATGCATTTCAACAGCAACAGATAGGTAGTTCATGGCAAAGAAGAGATGGAAAGTTATTATTGCAACAGTTAAGCCCAATTTATATTTACTGGAATCCACACACTACTTGCATGCCTCCAAGTATAGTTCAGGAATCAGTGCCTTTCCTCTGACATCAGTGTGGATTAGCAGTCCACTGATGGTATAAAATGCAGTTTGGAAAATTAGTGTCTGCTTTTATTTTTAAGGAGTTTCATATATTTTCAAGGGTGAAGCACCTTCCACACTGCCTGTCCAATATGTTATCATATGCACGGGACAGAAAGGTGACAAAGAGGTGTTGGAGGGTGTTTTTGCTGCTGATTTTTTAAGAAAATATGAAGCAAGATAGCATGAGACTTAGCTAAGCTGTCTAGAATTACTGGTTCTCAGAAACCTGTAGAGTTCTCAGAAACCTGTAGAGTTTGGAACAGAGGACAGCAAAGTGACCGGGAAAGTGTGAAGAGCTCCCTCGCCTATACAATGGTAAGTACCTGTCACCTGTGACTAATGGGCAGCCAACGTGATGAACTTAGGGTGTGCTTCATCAGCACAATGCGGTGCTGTGCAAGCTCAAACTGTACAGCAACCCAGTCAAAGTGGGCTTCAAACTGCACCACTGACGTTACATGGCACTTTGATATGGTTAATCATGAACAGCAGTCCTCGCTGGAGAGCCAGTTGATATTTATTCATTTCTAAGGGGGAGTTTGGGACTCTGCAACTGGGGGGCTCTGTGTCTGTATCTAACTACTGGGCAGACCTGCTGATAAATACCATGAGGGACCAGGCACCCTCGTATCCCTTAGTGTTCCTGGGATGGCTGTCATACAGCTACCCCGTAGCAATAATGAGGGTCTTGCTTCTACCAGCACAGCTTAACTTCAAGGCAGCACACACCTCCCGTGAAAAGCGAGAGCTGAGCCTTGGTCTTACTCTGAGCTACGATGGACAAATGTATTCAGGAAATAGTGCATAACACTGTACATTCAAAGACTTCAAACAAAGCTTATATAAGCTCCCAATTATTTTTGAAGTGTGGATATTTCATAGACTATAAGGCTATATAAAATAGCCTCTTTGAATCCAATATAAAGATGGAAGGTTCAGGAAGATTCAGAGGAGGTATTAAAAGCTGTCAATATGACATGAAGCAAGGCGACAGCCATACAGAAACCCAACCTTTTCGTAAGGGATCTGCAGCAGCTCCAGCACAACCACGTGAGCTCCCATGTTCCTCAGAAGTCGCTGCTGCTGCTTACGGCTTTTCCTGACCGAGGCACTTTCCTGAACACAGAGCTTGCTGAGACGTAGCAGGATCTGGAGAAGAGACATGCTTTAGAGCTGAAATTCTGGGTTTTATTTCAGAACATGGTTCCCAGAGAACAGCAACAGTGAAAAACGCATCTGCATGGACTACAGCGGCTCCAGGCAGCAAAATCAGGTTTTGGGGTCTTGAGGTGAGGAGCTAAGACCAGGCTAAGGCCTGGTTGCTCCTGCAATAACAGCAGAGGTGCCAAAGGACCGAGCTGGAACCAAGAACCTCCGGGAAACATGGGGGCAGAAGGCAGCGACGGCATCTGCTGCCCGCTCGGGTGGCAGCCACCATCCCCTCACCACCCCCCCGGGGACGCAGCAGCCAGCAGAGCCTTGCGGCACTCGGCACAGGCACGGGAAGCAGTGTGGCAACAGCGCTATCATCACATCTGGTGGTGTGCTGGCCTGGGCGTCATCCATTGCATCTCTGACCTGGGCTGGTCCTGAGGAATTCAGCCATGTCAAGTGAACCTGGCATAAGGCTCTGCAGCACGGTGCCACAGAAAGCCCATTAGCTAACACCACACCAGCACCAACGCATGCTCTTTGTCTGGTATTTTTAAAATTAAATTTCAACAGCACAGTGGTTTTGAGTGCAAGATACTCGGGACAGGGCAAATCAAATAGCTTCTCCACTTGCTTACTTCCTTCATAGCCTTTACCAATAAAAATATTGTGTTACCATTGAAACAGCAGCAAAGCGTCGCGTTTCTCACTAAACCATTCTTAAGGAAAGAATACACGTCGTGCTTATTATACTCCTGGCTTCTCATTCAAGTTGGGATATGTTATTACTCAGCAAATAGTTTCCACAATGGAAGAGTGACTCAGACTTTCCTGGGTGTCTCCTTCTGACTACAGCTTTCCAGAGCTGTGTTACTCATTTACACTTCCATTTAACCATCAAGAAGCAAAGTTTTACCTCTTTTACTACACGGTAGTTGTAGCTGCTAGTACTTTCAGGCTTTTGGGACTTGCTGTGACCTTCCTGTGGATAAAAATCAGACAATTTATTACTAGCCTATAGTATTGTCTTCATGAAGGCTAAAATTACCATTGTAGGATAGCGCGTGCTCTCTTCCTGGAAAGGAGTGTCATCCTTCAATTCTCTGACAGTCTCAAGAAAAGTACATATAATTATCCTGTCAAGTCACATTGACCTCTATAACATAAAATAAGGTGAGGGTGGGATGATTTTAGAGACAGCAACCTCCTGTCCTTTCCTTTGCTTGTCACATTTTGTCTGTAATCAAGTCTCCTCCAAAAAAATGTCTTTCTTTCTCTCCCTCTCTACTATTATTAAACTGTCATTGCATAGATATCAAGAGATACCTCACAGAACTACACACTAGGAAAGCAATGAGTAAATTACTTCTATTTACTTCCAACAATAAATGTTCATAACCCACGGACTATTTCTTGCATTCCCTCACCCGGTCTTTTCTATTTGATTGCAAATTATACTGAGACAAAAGTTCTAAGCCAGATGTGCATGCCAGGGAAGTCGAGTATTACCAAGTACAGATAAAGCAGCAACATTTACCCGGTTTCTCAAGCACTGTTCTCTTCTGCCACTTAATAACAGTGCCATGATTCAAAATGCATCACCTGAACAGTTCACAGCTCTGCCCTTACATTATTTGAGGTACTTTTGATCATATAAAAAACATGCAATCTATCAGTGCTGAAAGGACACAACTCAAGAGCCAGAGCAAACCCAAACCAACTGTTCTGTTAGATCCTAAAGATGACACATCAGTGGGTGCTAATCCTGAGCAGTTTCCACCTGAGACTAATTGGCATCACCTAGCTCAAGTTCTCCTCTTGTTATTGCCTTAGTCCAAAAGCAATTCAGATAGCCTCACCAGGCTACACAGTGTGCTGGAAAGATACTTGTTTTTTTTAGTCACAGTTCTGGAAACAGTTACATTTTCATAAATTATTAATTCACTAATTTGTGCAAACAGAACCTAATTACCTCTTTTTTCTTGTGTTCATTTTCACCTTGCACTCCATCCATAGTCTCATCAGGGCCCTGGCCTTTGTACACCCAAAGCTCCGATTTTTCCACAATAGACCTCAGCTGGTCCAAATCTTGTTTTATCTGCTTGTAGTTGTCAACATCTTGGCTGGTAACAAGCAGTTGAACCTTACATGAATGCAATACATTAGTTGCACAAAAGGATTGGTTTTAGCTGCAATATATACATTCAGATGAGGAATAACACTCTTAATACAAACACGTACCTGTTTAAAAGCTTGAAGGACTTCTTGTCTCTGACTAAAGTGCCGGAAGAGTAGCTGAAGTGCTCCAGACACCAGAGGAGGATAGTCATGCATTGTTAAATGCAACAAAACTCTGAGAAATGTTCTGCCACCATGATCGTCCAAATCCAGTGGTGTATTTTCCTCACTGAAAACAGAGTGTAGGAGTTAACTAGCATATTAAACTGAACGTCCCAGCAGGTTCTCAAGTCCAGTCAGCGGTGGCAGAAAACCTTTTTTCTTACTTTTAAATAAGGGTGAAATTAAACAAAAAGTTCTATCTTAAGACACAGAGGGTTTTTTGGTATACTGCTTAATAGGGAGGCTATTCCAGAATCTCATTAATCATAGTTCACTCAGCTTACATTAATCAACTTACATTTTTCAGGGTCTAACTATGCCAAAATATTTGTCCCTATGTCAGCCTCACCTTATTGCTCAAATAGTTCTTGCCCATTCCTGATACCAACCTTTTTCTCACTATTTATGAAATAAAACCCTACCTCAGTATCCAGGTTGCAATGCTAATTATGTCAAGCACTTGAAATCCTCCTCTTCCCTCTCCTTCTCCTGCACCTCTTTTCTGAGCATGAGAAACTCATCCTGTATTTTTTTTTCCTATCAGTGCCCCCTCAATCTTTTCCGTATTCTGCTTCCAACTGAGTCTGCACGCTTACATTAAAAATTCTGGTTATTAATTCTGTAAATGAATCTCTCTCTCCCCTTCTGCCTTCATTTAAGAAATCAGTTATTTTAGGATTACAGAAAACAACTGCAGCTCTGAGCAGCTTAAGGACATGTAGAATATACAGCTTCATGGTGCTCCAGCAGATAGTAGGTGGAGTATCAGGATAAGCTGAAGTACTTGGAGTCTGTCACTGACTTGCTGTCCTGTGATTTAAGAAAGGATATAAGCTTCTCCGGAAGGAAGGCAGGTATGGAAGGTACAGCTTGCTTTGTTCTGTCATGCATGTGCAGTTTAATGCTGCATTATACAAAAAAAGGATGGCTAAATATGTATCTATCTCAGTAGAACTCCCAATCCTTGCCTACACAAACTTTTCCACCTAAGATTTTGCTGCAGCATTCAGCTCAGATGCACTAATCCTCCAGCTTGGCTTTCACCCACACAAGTGAAGCCCTCCCATGAAGATCTTTCTGGCTGAAGGACCCCTGTCCCTTATCTGTGGCTTTTAATCCAAATGGACACTACTTTGAGCTGTATCAAAGGCATTTCAGGAAAATGAGGCCTAGGTAATTATGACAGCTGTTTCCAATCTTTTCCCAGTTACCACCTCCCTTTCAACTGCAATCCCCTCTCCTTGGGAGCCCTAAGGGCTGCAGCCTGGGAACTGCTGAGCTACCCCTTGATTAGCACTAGTGGAGAGATACTTTCCTTCCACCAAAGATCCCCTCAGCTTGTTCTTCAATATGTTCAAAGTCCAGGGCTCCTGAGAAAATAACAAGACAAATACGTTATGTCAGAATGGCACCAGAGGTGTTTTTGCAACCTAAACCCATTTTAAACGGCAAGTGGTGATGTAGCTGTAAACAAGAGGGTCATAACAAGCTGAAAGGAACACTGAGAGATTACTGAAGCAGCCTGCTGAGATAACATAAGACAATAAATTAACCTGTTCTCAGCTCACAAATGAAACTGCATAATCACTTCACCAACATCCAGGCTTATTCTTCTCTTGCCTATTTTTAGATTGCACCAGCATCATTCCAGGATACCAGGGACCTGGTGTCATTCAGAGGGGCCAGCCACAAGAAACGCCAAACTTCAACCTTGAGAAGTTATAAAGCAGTAAATTCAGCAATGACAGCAATACTCCTGTGGCTCAAGAGACAAAAAGATCTTTGCATTTTTCAGTATAAGGTATATATTATCACATGGGCAATGATTAATATTCTGAAATAAAAAAGTAAAAATGGTAAAACAGTGTTGGAGCTCTCAATCTTTCACAAACATTTGCAAAGGGGAACAGAAAGAGCATGGGGATTTTACATCTTTTCCAAAAACATTTATCCTCTTTCTTCCAAAGTTCAACTCGCAGAAAGAGCTCTCCCCACCAGCCCAGTTTCGAAGGCCCTGGCACCCCGGGGGGCTGCTGGACAGGCAGCCCAAGAAAAAAGTAAACACATCTCCTTTGAAGCGAGATCAAAAGAAACAGTCTCCTCCCTTTGAAGACTTCACATCTAAACCACATTTTCCTTATCTTTCTCCTTTGCATCTAGAGATACGGTCTCCGAATTGAGGGAGAAAAACTGTTTGATGTCTAATAAGCTCCACTTTTAAAGTCCAGTTATTCCTACACAGTACAGGTCCTAACTACAGGACACTTTCTCCCCTGGAAAGCGATACAGCAATTAACAACACCCCATCAACCCAGTCCACTAACTATCTGGCTTTCAATTAAGAACAACACTGGACATGAAAAGCTCCTTAACAGCTTACTTTCATACCCTTGTCTAGCAGCACTGAGATACAGACACCTCCAGATGTCCCGCCTTCCTACAATACCTTTGGAAAAGAGAAATTTGGGTGGCTAGAGGCATCAGGCCCGGGGAAAGGGATGGAGGAAATCACATTACTTTGGGGACCCTTTTCCTTCACCCAGAAACACTAATATAGAAGATTTAATTTGAGCTTGATGACAGGTCACACATGATAGTATTTCAGGTTTTCTTTAAAGGATGCATCTCAGGCTCTTGGTCACGCTTAACACATGGAAACAAGTAGGAGAGAGTACAAATAAATCCTGGGTTTTGTTTGGCGTATATGGAAATGATCCCTATCATTATTCCCGCTGCTAGCAGGGTACTCTGCTGCAGCAGGACAGTTCATATGCCAAAGCAAGAACCTGAATCAATTATCCAATTAGCACCTCTAAGATTAAAGAGTCTTCCCTAACCCACACAAATTCATTCTTTGCAAAATAACTAACCTGGTACATTAGCTGGCATTTCTTGATTACTGCTTCCAGTGGGTGATTCAGACATCTGGGCATTGCTTTCATCAAATTCATGTTTAAATATACAAAGTAGGCAGGAGATTCTGTAGTCCAATCTCACATTCAAAATAAACTGATAATACAGAAATAGTAAAAATACTGAAATAACTTGCCTATTTCCAAGCACACGTACAGACAATTTACACATAATGCAGTGCTACAAACACGCAAGATCAACATAGTAAAAATGGGGATTTAACTTGGAGAAGAGGTACACAAACGTTTTCTTAAAAATCCCCAGAATTCAGTGATTTTTTTTTCAGTGATTTCAATGAGTGTATGAAATGCACACAGTAATAGATACTTATGAGTAAAAGATTTTGGCAGAGTTTTGATCCCTTGTTACTGCCCAATGCAGGCATCCTCACCTCGCCCTCCAGGAAAGGAAAGCAGCATTTCTATCTCCATT